AATGGTATACTCCAGTGGATACACCACTCCATACAAGACAAAGTTGAAGTTAGTGGTATACTCCAGTGGATATACCACTCCATACAAGACAAAGTTCAAGTTAGTGGTATACTCCAGTGGATACACCACTCCATACAAGACAAAGTTCAAGTTAGTGGTATACTCCAGTGGATACACCACTCCATACAAGACAAAGTTCAAGTGAATGGTTTACTCCTATGGATACAAAACATCATACAGAGAAAATACATTTGATGTTACAGTTTACAACAACAATCGAAACAACATGAAAAGTCAACAATGTTACAGTTGACTGCAGCTGTCAAAACTACTTGTAAAGTCTGCAATGTTAGTTTACTACAGTAGTCACACTGCAGTAAGCACACAGTAATAGCTCTTTGTGGTGCAGAGAGGTGAGTATTATTGCTGAAGTTACAGTTTATAAACCAAAACTACACGTAAGGAAAATATAATGCTGAATAAAAAACAAATCAAGCACACTTTCACATTTTAACATATTTCTCAAAAAACAGAATATATACAAATAAACATTGAACATATTTCACAATGTTCAAGGCCCTGAATCCCCCACACCATTAAGACATTAATGGTCACTTTGTCAAAAGTTTTGAGTTACTGATTTCAGTCAAAACATATGGTGTATTTACTATAAAATACTCATAGTATTATTTATCTGAAGTTTAAATATGAGTGGACAGAGCAAGAATCAGTTTATCATGTAATGATAAATATATATTGATGTTATAATTTTCCGCCACTGAATGTGTGTTTCCGGTAGATACTTACCTATTAACACATAATAGCTTTTCTTGTTCAGTGCTGCTCTCTATGTGCACAAGATTCACTTCCCACTTGCCTTAATACTACAACCTACCTCCAAATGTTTACACGTGGTACAGCTGCACTGAAGCATGCAAATAAATATGCAACAATCCTCCACCAATGGGAGTGCAACACCCCCTCCTGGTACAGCTGACTCCTATACTGTAAAGCCAAATCTGTATTTCAAGATTAGGCAGAAAAGAAGCATCAGAAGTGGAAAGTGGTAAATATCCATTGAAAATGCATTTTCATTGTAGGAATATTATAACTTCTGATACAATACCTTACCTCTGCTGACATAATAGATAGAATGCCACATTGAACTGGTGAAGGGACTGGTGGAACAGTTACCTAGAATGAGCACCCTTCAGAAAGCATCTGAAGAGAGCACATAAGAGTGTGAAACCTCAGTGGAGAGGGTCAAACCCCTGAGAGGCCTCACATCTGTACCAGGTATACCTTTATCCTTTAGAGAAGATATGTGTCACAAAGATAGGTGGAAAAGATGCATGTCCAATAAGTGGGAATGCTAGATGGTATAGAGTGGCTAGGGCACATTAGACCATAATTGGTAGCCAACTCCAGTCCAAAACCTGCCACTATTGGGAATTTGTCATCTGGTCCTCACCATTTTCATCTCAAACCCAGGTATCGGATGGGAAATTGCAATTCCATTCTGAAAACCCGAGCATTGTAGAAAGGTAGAATGCAATGTGGTGGGTCAACTCCAGTCCAAAACCTGTCAGCATTGGGAATTTATTGTCCAGTCCACGGTAGGAAGAGGGCCCTACCAACCATATGTGTGAGGATTTATGTTTGCTAGTCCTGCTTCAATCCAGCAATATACCACTCAGGACCTGACAGCCAGGCAGCAGAAGGATAAGGGATACGGTTGGCAGGGTGACCTGTATGTGGTGGATTCATCCAGTTCAAAATCAGGTGGCATTGGGAATTTCACATTTAGTCCATGGTAGGAGGAGATTACATACCATCTACACCAACAGAACACCACTGCCCTACTCTTAACTGAGTGGAATTGGACACACTCAGGTGGATGCCACCATGGTCCAACACCCCAGCAGTTAAGAACTGGTAAGTGGCAAAGACTCTCATACTCCATTCGAAGGGGGGTGGACTGTGGTGGAGAGTCTGGAGGACTGCATCACCAGAGAAAGTGCAATGAGTGATCACAAAACCCTATTTTGAAAAGCAGGTCAGTCCAAATTTATTCATCCAGGATCAGAGGGTTGGTCAGCTATCCTGACACTGCTTTTCTCATGATGGTCCATAAATTGGTACAGTCTGGAATGGACCTTATTTATGAAGTAAAACACCACAAGGAAACCTTCAGTGGTTTGCAAAACACCCCATCTCAACAATGAGTGTTATAGACCATAACAACCATACAGCCATATGGATTAGCATACCTGGACAGGCACCACTTATTACAGAGTGGGATTCAAACATGTAAAATAGGCACCTGTAATGGAAATAAAGAAACAGAAAAAATACTTATTTTCACTGTTGAACTGAAGTGTGTAGAATAGCAATGAGCGGTAATCAGTATTTAGAGAAGAAAGAGCTGATCACATGAAGCACATAATGAGTGATGATAGTGTGGTCCAAATGTTAGCATGGATGATCACTCCCAACAGATGATGGAAATGGGTAGCTAAGGAGAAGGTGAGATGACAAATCTGGTGGGAGGATACCCAGAAAATGTGAAGGGAATCAGGAGACAAGGAAGAATAAGCCAATTGAAAAAGTTAATGAATTCAACCCACAAGGATTACAGGAAAAAAGTCTTGGGTAGAGGAAAGGATCTATGGGGAAACAGGTGTGAACAGGAACCATAGAAAGTAGCTGTTCAGACAACATAATACTGTAGAGCAGAAACAGGATAGAGAAGATTATTCAGAGTGGAGCAGATACACAAATGGAAAATGGAAGGTAAGGAAGTAGGTGTGAATGTGATGTCCCCTTCATGAGCTATCATAAACTTGGAGAAAAAGTAAACTACTATCAAGGTACAGGAGAACATAGGTATTGTTA